ACCCTTTATTTATAATCCATTGTGCGTCTCTCCTCGTATAAACCTGCTCCCCTCCAGCTCCATTGCAGTTTTTTTTTCCAGTATCCCACATGTTTCATCTTCGCTATGTGCNCTTTTTCTTCTTCTTTCCATAAGACAAACTCTCATTTGCTCGTGTCTATAACAATTCACCCTCTGTGTTACATATTATGACCCTTGTCCATCTTGTGTTCCGTTTTCACGGAAAACAGCACATTTATGTTCCTTCTATATCACCTTGCAAATTGGATACTTGAACTCTGTACTATCACTTACTGTCCCCACTGTAATTTTATATTATTGTACATTTGATCATGCGCACAAGCATGCTTCACGGGCTTCGTGAAATATACCATTATTATTATTATTATTATTATTAGTATCAATTCAAAGAATACTTTCCAACAGATCCTTCTTCTTTTGAATGTTTTTCATTATAATCCTGATTGGTATATTCTTCCACTTCGTGTTCGGGATGGAGATTGTGCTTTCGTACCCGTTGTTGGTATTCCTTGCTTCGGATCTTGTACACAGAGTTCTACATCCTCCTGAATGGTATTTGGATCGTCTCTTTCTTCTTTTCCGTCACCATTCTCTTCCCCTTTCCTCAAGTGAACTCTATTTCTCCGTATTATCCGTTGACCACAGCGTACTATGTAAGATTTCTTTGTTGCTCGCGCTATCACTTCTCCCTTCGCACAAACCTCCGTTGGCTTCAGTGGTTGCATTCAAACCGTGTCTCCTGATCTGAGTGAACAGAGGGGTTTACTGCCACAGTTGTAATACCTCTTTTGTAGCGCCATGCTTTCCTTAACCTTGACTGTATGATTATTGATGGCGTAGACTGTGGCCGTAGTAACTGGTTGCAAATGGGTAGAACCGTGCGTGTGGGTCTGCCAAATAAACGTTGGCTTGGGCTGGTTCCAATATTGGCCTACGGTATGTCCCGTAACTCGAGCAGGGCCATTAGTAGGTCGCTACCATCCACACTGCATTTTTTGATAAGCTTCTTTGCTTGTTTGACTGCGCTTTCTGCTTTGCCATTGGACTGACGTTGACAGGGGCTAGTAACGTGGTGCTCAAAACGCCATTGTTCACTGAATTTCCGGAATTCGGTACTACGAAATTGGGGGCCACCATCGGAAATCACCTGAAGTGGTATTCCATGTCGTGCAAAATGAACGCGCAGTTTATCGATGATCTCCACCGATGTGCTGAATCGCAGTAAATAAACTTCAAAAAAGTCGCTACAGTAGTCAACAGTTATCAAGTAGGTATCCTTTCCGTGATAAAAAATATCCAGCGCTATCATCTGCCATGGTCTCTCTGGTATTACAAGAATATTCATCGGTTCCTTCGTTTGTCGCTGGTCAAGCTTCCTGCATATTTCACATTTAGCAATGAACTGTTTTATCTGTTCTGACATACGCGGCCAATAATGTCTCCCTGGCGCGGCTGAGGCATCCGTTGGTACCGGCGTGAGAGCAATGTATCAAACGCACTACGTTTTGTTGAATCGCTTTTGGTACGACCAACCTTTCACCACGAAAAATCAGTTCATCGTGCACAGTTAGTTTATCTCGGAATTTGAAGTAGGGCAGTACATCCATCGGAAGGGCTTTTTTTCTTTCTGGCCAACCACGAGTGATAAGTACTTTAATTTCTTGCATGCTCGGACCGTCAATAGTTACAGTTCTTATGTGAGACATATCGAACTGCGTCACCGCCAATGCAACGTTCACGGATTCCAGCTTTTGTTCCTGTCCTGTTTCGGGTAGTGTGTCTCGTGACAACTTGTCCGCCACAAACATGCGTTTACCTTGTTCGTAATGCAGTTCATGATAGTATTTCTGTGGACGTATTAGCATCTATTGTAACCTCATTGGTGCTCTGTGGAGTGGCTTATCCACAATCATGATCAGGGGTTTGTGATCTGAGTATACATGCGTGAGTCGACCAAATGTGTAACCATTGAACTTCTCCAGCGCATACACAATTGCTAGCATTTCTTTCATGATCTCGGCGTACCTTTAATCACAGACTGTTAGTGCCGTACTCCGGTAATCTAATGGACGGCCATTTTGAAGGAGCACGGCACCTGAGCCAAATTGACTGCTGTCAAATTGTATGCACAGAGGTGCATTGGGATCGAAGTAAGCCAGCACTGGGGCTTTTACAATAAGTTGCTTGATGCGATCAACAGCCACCTGTTGTTCTTGTGTCCAAAAACACGGTTCTTCTTCATGCGTCAAACGTCGAATCAGCCAAATTAATTCCGCTAGTTCTGGGAGAAATCTACTTAGATAATTCATCATTCCATTGAATCGTGATACGCCTTTTGTATCGGTTGGGGGGGGGGCATTTCTACAATCGCTTTTACATTTGCCGGGTCCGGTTTGATCCCTTTACTTGTACTTACGTGACCGTGAAGGCTGACTTCCGATTGACAAAAGATTAGCTTGTCCTGTTTCTGCTCGATTCTGTCTCGTATACAACGCTGTAAAAGGCCTTCGAAACGTCTGTTGTGTTCATCTGCATTTTTTCCGAAAATTAGCATGTCGTCCGCCCCGCACAATACACCGAGTAAATCATCTACCGCTTGGAGGATTCCTTTCTGAAAAATTTTACTTGATACTTTTAAGCCGAACGGCAGTCTTTTCCAACGATATCACCCGAGTGGCGAGCCAAAAGTGGTCAAGTAGCTTGATCTATCGTCTAGCTCTAAATGCCAAAATGCATAGGCTAAATCCACCTTCGTGAAGTATCTTGTATTAGCTAATTTCGGCAGTATATTGTCAAAAATGGGTAGAGTGAAGTGCTCCCGTCTTAATGCCTTGTTTAATGGTTTCGGATCGATACGTAATCTCAATTCTCCAGACGTTTTCGTCACCACCACAACATGACTCACCCAGTCCGTTGGTTCATCAACTTTCTCCAAAACGCCCCTTGTGATAGGGTTATTCACTTCGCGCGAAAATTCCTCTCCAACAGCAAGTGGGGACGGCCGCGTTGGTAAAACAAGGGGCTGGGCTGCGTCGTTTATGTGAAGTGTCACAGTTCTTGCCAAATTTCCCAGTTTTCCATCAAAAACAGAGGTATACTTTTCCAGGTAGTATTCACTGTCTTTACAAACGTGATGAACAAATGAATCATAGTTAAACGATACCAAACCAAGTCGCTCGATGGACTCGTATCCAAGAATTGGAACATAACCCGGCTCCACGACGATAAAACTCGCGACTCCGTTTCTGGAATTCTTCAGTGTAATAATGGTTTCTTCTTTCGGCTCCACGTTTGCATCGTTCCACATAACTAATCTCGTCTGGGTAGAGTCCAATTTGATATCGGGTTGGAAATTTCTCGGTATTATGTTGACGAACACACCAGAATCTAGTTGGAACGTTATTTCTTCCCCATTCACCAACAGTTTAGCAAATATGCCTTTCCATTTGGCTGGTAGTTGTACACCACCGACACAATCAGCTGCTTGAATGTGAGGTTCTAATGTTGATTCTTTCTTCCAAAACACNNTTTGCTGCAAAATGATTCCGCTTTTTGCTTCTTCCCATAGGATGCATGTGGCCACAGAAACGACAAGCAGCTGTTGAATGTGTTCGATTTTCAGCGGTAATTTTTCACAATCCATAATCCTCTGTCAAGGCAAGCGTCTCCATATGCTTCTCTGCTGCCTCTTCACTTCACTGACCTGCGGTACGTTAGCGCCCGGTTTGAATTTTCAAAGTGCTCTTAATCGAAAGTATTTTTGCTCAGCTAATTGTGA